GTATGTTCCCCACTATCCAGAAATCTATCAGATTTTAGAAAAGGAATTTATTTACTACGGAAAACAGTATTTACCAAAAACAGGATTCCCCCATTCCGTAGGGTACTCTCCCCTTTCTCACACAAGGTTCTTGGGGTGAGATGACTCAGAGCAATGGTAGCTAGAGCACATGTGTTGAAAACATATGTGGCCAACTCCCTGGAACAGCCTAGGGTACCCAAAATTTCTCCAAGGATCTTTGAAAGATCTAGAGAATTCCAAATGGAGGACTGAATTTATTTCTCACTAGGACAAGCAGGTTCTGTTAGAAAAGAAAGAAAACAAGGTTATGTAAACCCTGAACATTTGAAGCCCAGGCACTTGGGATTTACTACTTGGTGTTTTTAGTCCAACAGGTGAGCCTGTGGCTCCATAACAGTCTTATGCAGCAAGCAGTCTAGATCTGCTTAAAAAGAAAAAAAGAAACATTTATGAGTTATCATAGTATGCTTGAGGTAAGCTTCTAGGTACTGAGTGATCTTGCATAAATGAGGGCAAGAATGATACAACAGACATAAGTACATAAGCATTCAAAGGAGCAAAAGTTGGCTTAAAGAACTGGCCTGACTTGTAAAAGGAACACACGAGAAAATGAAAATGCTAATTTTTCTGTAATGGTTCTCTAAATCTAAGGTGTCCAATAATGGAAGTCCCAGGTAAAGAATCTCTCCAGTGGGTCCTTGCAAATACAAAGGGACCCCAAATTATTTCAGATGAAACTTCAACATGTACCCTCCTCCCCTCTGCACTCACTCTCCCAACTCCCACTTTGTGTTGAGCAGGTTGCTTCCTGAAATGAGTCCTATAGACCCCATTCCCACAACATGAGCTCCCTTGGATTGCAACCTCCAAGTAAACCCACACTACACATAAATAGAATAAAAATGAGAAAACAAATGGGGAATAATTAATATAACTCCTATTTGACCTGTACGGTATAAATAAAGTCTTAACACTGGAAATGGGGAAATGGACATTAACAATGAATGAATGAAGAAATATTAAATGCTTACTATGTGCCAAACTTAACATGTGCTAAGTCTTAGGAATACAAGTATTAAAAAGTAAGATAATCCAGGATACGATAAGCTTGAGTCTTGATGGAAGGGATAGAAAATACCTGTAGGGAAGTGGTAGCCAGGGAAGGGTGTTTTAGTCTGGGAAGTCCCAGAGATGGTAAGTGGAGCTGCAGGAGAGTTGATTGATACAACCTTACCCATAGCAGTGGTAACATTGATATGATTACAGTTCCCAGAACAAGATTTAGAAATGGGAAGTGTGACTGGCAGGAGGTGGGGGTGGACAATGGTGTGCGTGTCGCAACAGGGCAGGTGACAAGATGGCAGGATGGATGGCTAGATAGGATTTGAAGAATGGCTGTGGCCAGCTACGGAGAATCACAGAGGATAACAGATCTGGAGTTGAGAGGGGCCTCAGAGTTTATATAATCTAATCTCATCATTTTACAAATAAGGAAACAGACCATGGAGTTTACATGACTTGCCAGTAGATGCACCCAGTAGAAAGATCAGAAGTAAGATTTGAACCTTGAACCTTTGACTCTAGATATAGTAATCTTCTATAAAAATCTAATTTTTAAAAAAAATTTGAGCTTAAGAAACAGCAAATAAAATGGGCATTTCTATATGCATAATGGAATAGAAAAAAGGGAATTGTATATGAAACTGTGAATCCCTATTCTATGTAACTATAATAAATTCAGCATATAACTTGCAAAGATGCCCTTTTCTGTAAGCTCTTTTCATCCATTTCTTTTCCTTCACCTTTTTTTGGGGGGCTATCATATCTTTATCTCCCCCCTCCTTCCTAAGCGCTCTCCAACTTGAAAAATAAGAACAAAAGCAACATGCTTTTAACAAATACGTGTAATCAAGAAAAACAAATTTCCACTATTGCTATGCCTAAGAACATATGTCTTATTCTGCATCTTGAGTCCCTCACCTCTCTGGCAGGAGATGGGTAGCATGTTCCACCATTAGTCCTCTGGAATCATGGTTGATGATTTGATCAGTGATTTTGTAGGTGCTAGAAATTTTTTGTCAAAGGGGAGAATGTAACCCTGGTTGGGGACTGCCCCTCACCCCCCAAAGATGCTGTCGTGGAGACTGTAGGACTTCTCCATGATTACAGAAACTTACTGTGTTGGTGCTCAGTTGTTTCAGTCATGTCCATCTCTTCATAACACTGTTTGGGGTTTTCTTGGCAAAGATACTGGAGTGGTTTGCCATTTTCTTCTCCCCACTCATTTTACAAATGAGAAACTGAGGCAAATGGTTAAGTGACTTGCCCAGGGTCACACTGCTAGTAAGTGTCAAAGGCCAGTTTTGAACTCAGGAAGATGAATCTTCCTGACTTCAGGTCCAACACTCTATGCAGTATGCTACTCAGCTGCCCCATGGTGCCCTGAAGTGGCTTGCCCCATAGTTACACAGCTAGTAAGTGTCTCAAAAAGGATTTGAACTCAGGTCCTTCTGGACCCCAGCGAGTCCAACACTTCCACTGCTATGCCCTCTAGCTTCCTCTCCTATTTCCCGACTTAGTTGAATATTCAAATTGTATTAAGTGGCTACCATTTAGTTGATTATATATCTTTATTTGGAACCATGCTCAAAATTAATGTGATGCCTATTTTCCAACTTAGGTTAAAATAATAAGTTGTGAACATAATGATAGTCTTTGGAACTCTTTTTTTTCTCTGTGCCTCTCCTGTGCCTGGCTAATTAGAAGCCGCAAAATTCTATAAGTACACCCAACTGTCCCCTCTGATACATACCCAAGAAAGATTCCCCCAGAGAAGGTGCCAGCCTACAGAAGTTATCCCCACATGTAGAATATGCACCCGAGTGGCTCTTTGTGTTAGGCCTGGTGTCTGAAGCCCTGGCCCTTTTGGCATTTAGTCTATTAACTTACACTTCAGGCAGACTGCTACTAGACCTTGCCTTGCATCCTCAGCTTTCTTGCTCCGGGAATAATGTCTGAGGCCTGGCTGATGCAGCATTAGGCTTCTGTCAGAGATCCCCAACAATTCCTCACATGGAATGATTTTGAGTGACTTCCTAAAATGCGGGACCCCAACCTGTACACAATATTCCAGGTAGGCTCTGACAATGGTTGAATAGGGTGGGACTCTTCCCTTCTGGGTCTGGACACTATGCTTGTATTGTCCTTCTGGGACAGGTGGGAAGGAGAAGAAAGAGAAGGATGAGGTGAGCATTTGAACTGAGAAAATACGGGTGAAAGATAGGCATTGTAAAGAAGGAAATATGCAGGATTTGGGAATGGTAAAGGAGGACAGAGAATTTGAGAAGAATGAGAATGAAAAGAACTCAGATGAAAGGGAAATAACTGGAAGAGGAAGGGGATAAAATAACTGAGCAGAGGAGATGGAGAAGGATTGAAGGAGAGGAGGAGTTAATAAGATCAAAGCAAGGAGGGTAGGTTTGCCCATCCAGGTGCTTACCTTCAAGGTAAGATTCAGGTACATAGAGGTAAGAAGAGGAACGAGCACTTTGAAGCCGAAAAACCCTGAGGCAGTTGCTAGGATCAGTGGGCCAGGAGGAGGCTGGTTCAGAGATGTACTGGTAAGACTAACAAAGCATCTTACTTCCAGAATAGAGAGCACAAGTGAGCCTTTTGCAAGGAGTGTAGAATGCTCAGTATTTGTCTTTCTGCTATGGCCAAGTAATGTTACCTATGTTTAAAGTACAGGCTAGACTCCCTCCTAGAAGAAAAAGTGAAGGGATTTGGAGAGTCTCTTGGCTTCCCAAGGATATCAGGGAGAAATGTTCCTTAAGGGAATACGTAGCAAATCCCATATGCCACACTAAGATTCTCTTTTCCTTTGCATTCAGGCCACCAGTACCCCTGATTTTGCTCCTCTTACAAACAAATTGTTACCAAATCTGATTTCACATCTTGTGCAAAAAGAACGATTTACTTAAAATAGAAAGTCCCATGATATCGGGAAGCCTCGAACAACAGATAATAAACACATGGACATCAGTTTCACTCCAACTCCAAATGCTTCCCATACTGGAGTCTGATTTCTTTAACCAGATTGCACTGATTCCTCAGAACTGAGCCAGCATGTGGGCTGGACAGGGTTGCAACTCAGTCTTGGCCTGGAGCTTGGGGGGGAGCACCCCCCCAACCTCTACCATTATGAGGTCACATTCTTCCAACCAGCCTTCTTCCTCCTTTTCCTTCCCCCCCCCCCCAAGCTGGAACTCTTCCTGCTAGCTGACTGTCCTGAACCTTCTAGAGAATGTGCTCAGGGTCCAAGTTTCAGAAGAGAATGCAGAGACAAGAAAGGGACAACCCTAGCACTACTCAGATTCACCAAGTTGCTGTTCTACATGGCTGATGGCCATGACCTGGGCGCCATGGGAGGGAGATGGGAAAAGATGAGAGGGGAGGTTGAGTTTCCTAGCTGAAGAGCTCTATGAAAAAGGAGACAAGAGATGGTAGGGACCTGGATCCAGAAGAAGGTCCTGGAGAAGTCAGAGGCACTGGTGATAGAAATCTTAGCAGAAGACAAATGATGTTGGGTACTTGGCACCTACACAAGAATGAGGCCTTGAATCCAGAAGATAGAGACACTGGGGCCTTGAAAGAGAACAATGCCTATGAAATATGATAGCCTAAGGACAGAGACCCTTCAGAAACTCAAAAGATATCATCCATATGGAACATGAAGGGATCTATATCAGACTTGATGTCTGAAGGCTTGGACTTTCTGGCATTTAATCTACAGTCTGAGGCTCCAGGCAGCTGAGCTTTGACAAAGCTCCCTAGCTTTCTGGCTTTAGGTGTGATGTTTGAGGCCTAGTTGGGCTGGGACAGCATCAGGCCTTTACTTGAGACCCCTAACAACCCACTAGAGGTCAGTGACCTGAAGAGAAGAGGTAACCATAGCAAGGAAGGTAGGGCCCTTCTAGGTCTCTAGGACTCTTCCTGCATTGAAGTCAGTTGGAGTCTAGGGTAGGGAGGGGCTGGAGAGGGATGCTTCTGACCTCATAATAACCCTGGAGTCCTACATAGCCACCATTGCGGACTCCTCTATGCCTCCCACCAGCCTGGGGCGGAGGCCCCGGCCTCCTGGGCGCTACCACAGCAGCACTGTTTCCCCTCCAAATCCCTGGACCATGTCACTTCTCAGCAACTATGAAGGGCTGAGGCATCAGATTGAGCGACTAGTTCATGAAAATGAGGAGCTGAAGAAGCTGGTGAGATTGATTCGAGAGAACCGTGAGCTGAAGTCGGCCATAAAAACCCATGCAAGCGCCATGGGTATCAGTGGGATCAACAACATGTTCAACGAGGAAGCGACTGCCCATGCCCTGCGGACATCTGATCGTAAGAGTGTTGAAATTATAGAGTTGAGTATGTGACAGTAGGTGGGTGGCTCAGGAGGCCAGGGAAATCACTTTCCTCTTGTGGCAAAATGATATGAAGACAAATGAGAGCTTTTTACTTAAAGGGGACCCTAAAATCAAATAGGTGGAAGGTTTACAGAATGGAGAGCCAGACCCAGGTAGAGAAAGAAGGATCGGCCAAATCTCAGGTCTCCTATTTGAAAAATAAACCCCAGAGAAATGGACCTTCTTGCCTGTGGAGGAAGATGCTCCTCCCAATGTACCACGTTCTCCTATGTGAATTTCTATAAGGACTTTCCCAGCTTCTCCCTGCCTTAAAATTCCTCACTTCCATTCCCTCCTGGCCCCCTGTTTTCTATACCTGTAGTTTTCCCTACCAGTCCTAGGATATCACCACTCAGTGCTTTCCCAAGCTCTCACCCACTCTGCAAAAGTCCATCCACAATTGACACACCTGCCTAGCTCCTCCAACTATTCGAGGCTCCGCATCACTGACCCCCGGAGTCACTTTATCACTTACCTCTAAGTGACCTGTCTCCTTACTCCCATTACTCACCCCAGAGTATCTCCATCATCATCTCTCATGCTTTAGTATCTCCCACCATCATTCACCCTTCACTGTGTCCATTAGCCTCCTCAGAGTCCTGATGTCATCCCTTCCTTACAATTCTCATCCTCAGTGCCTCCGTTACCCCTATCAGAGTCACTCCAATATTTGCCACTCAATGCCAGTCATCAGTCATCCTTCATTGTCCCCACCACCATCCGTCTTACATCATTCCCATCACTCATCCCTATCCTAAATCATTGAACTCCAAATATCACCCCACTCCCTCCTTTGTTCACCCTTAGGCTTTTTCCTGACTCACAAATCAGTTTCTGCTATCCCTCATCTTTTTAAAAAGTATTTGTTCTTATAAACTCAATAATGCTTTCCTCAAATACAAATAAACAAAATATGGTATTGAATCTTGAATAAAAATACAAGGTAGGAACTTTTTACCTTTCGATTTTAAAAAAGGTGAGTATGAGGAGCTAGCCCACAATAACAAATTCTTTGCTGTCTGTAGTCATAATGTTTTGTTACTATTGGTAGTTTTTAATATAGTCATAGTCAGCATGTGTGTTATTCTTCTCCTAACTCAACTTCATTTGGCATAAGTTTTTTGTTCTATTTCTTTGCACTTTTCATATGTGTCATTTTAAGTCACTGTTTCACTTTGTAGACATACATACAAACATACATACATGTACAATGCTACAATTGAACAAGTTGCTTTCCTTCAAGGCATAAAAATAGTTCTTTACAATGATTTATTACAATTGGACAGGATACTTAATTTCTACTGGCCTCAGTTTTCTCCTCTGTGAAATGAGGGGTTGGACTAGATGACCATGAAGGTCCATCCCTTCTAGCTCTAAATCCTATCATCTTGCTGCATTCAGTGATTCACCATTTACTGGCTATGTTGTGAATGACCAGTTTCTTGTTATTACAAATAAAACTACCTTGAATGTTTTTGTCCACTCTTCCTTTTTTTCATAAACCCCCTAGCATTGGGATCCCAGAGTCAAAAGGCAGCATCAATTTAATGCCATTCAATTCAGTGAAGATTTAATCAATTCAATTCTATTCACTTCAGTGCATAAGCAGGCATTTTGTTAAGCCTCAGGATACAAAAGGTGAAAAATAGTCCTGATAAGGGCAGCTAGGTGGCTCAGTGGATAAAGCACCAGCCCTGGATTCAGGAGGACCTGAGTTCAAATCTGGCCTCAGACATATAACACTCACTAGCTGTGTGACTCTGGGCAAGTCACTTAACCCCAATTACCTCACCAAAAAAAAAAATAGCCCTGATCTCCAAGGGACTTATAATCTACTGGTGAGATGATAGAATATGCAAGCAGATACTGTATTTCATCACACGTACTGCATAATCCTCATAGATTCTATGCCAAATTTTTTGGCCAAAAGTGGAGTGCGACCATTATGTGAAGCTTTAAAAAATTGTGCCACTAATTGCTTGTCTTTTAGTTTCCTCCAGTCTTGCACCAACTTTTCACTCACTGAAAACTGCCTTTCCATAGCTGTTTCCATGCTGTTCAGTAAACACAATCACTTTCAGCGTGAAGCCCACAGAACGGTTTTTATATTTACCCATAGTCAAAAAGAAATGCTTTGCATGTTAACGTATTGCTGGCAGATGAACTGTACGGGTTAGCTACTGCAGGAAGATGCAAGTTTTACCACATCACGTGACTTACTTATGGCATCTTTGACTGCCCTCCCACTCCCCTTGTGCCCACGGCTCTTCATTCAGTTGAGTGACATTACCGTTAGTACCGCAATGCTCTAAACAAGCCACACAAGTTGGCTTTTGGAAATATACTGAAATGCACATCCAATGAGAATTCTAGGCTCTCAGCTCACCATGCGGGAGAGATAGATGCACATTCATAAGCCACTGGTGAATATATTGCTGCTCTGTTTACCTTTGAAGTGGTGTGATAAACAGAACTACACCATGAAACGATTATGTGATAAAAGGTTATAAACCAATTTTTGGACTGAAAAAACAGGGTGCGACAATTATACGGTGGCGACTATTATGTGTTGAAATACGGTATGTAGATACAGGATAATTTGAAGGACAGCCACTAACTTCTAGGAAGATCAGAGAAGGCTTCCCATAGCTGGGCCTTGAATTAAGCAAAGAAGTCTAACATGGAGATGAAAAGAGCATACACTCCTGGCATGGGAAATAGTCCAAGCATAGGTAGGAAGGTTGAGCACTGACTTGGCCAGTGGACTGGCAAGTAAGCCAACTTGGCTAAAATTTAAAATGTACAAAGGGGGATAATGTAAAATAAGGCTAGAAAGATTGTGAAGGGCTTTAAATACCAAATGGAAAAGTTTATATTTTATCCTAGGAGCAATAGAGAGCCGCTGAAGATTCTAGAGCAAGGGAGTGACTGATTCTACCTACGCTTTAGGAAATTTATTTTGAGGATTAAAGAGAAGAGCCAAGAGGTGATGAAGAGTTAAATTAGAGTGGTGGTCCTATAGACGCAGAAAAAACGAGAGCAAAAGATGTTGTAGGATAGAATCAAGAAGACTTGGGAACTTTTTTTTTAGGCAATCAGGGTTAAGTGATTTGTCCAGGGTCGCACAGCTAATAAGTGTCTGAGGCAGGATTAGAACTCAAATTCTGCTTACTCCAAGGCTGCAGCTCTATCCACTGCGCCTCCTAGCTGCTCCTTGGATAAGTTAAGTTTGAGATTTCTATGGAACATTCAGGTGGACACGTCCATCAGACAGTGATGCTGGTGAGGAGCTCAGGAGAGGGTCAGGGCTGGTTATATGAAAGTCCCCTGCAGAGACATAATAAGTGAACCCATGGGAGTAGATTAGATCACTGAGAAAGAGGATTTATATACAGAGAAAAAGAGTCCAAGGACCCATGCTTAGGGGATAAGGCACAGATAATGATCCAGCAAAAAGAGATGACATCAGACAGATAGGAAGAGAAGCTAGAGCAGGAGAGAGTCTCAGGAGGATGGGGCTAATTAATAGAGTCAGAAGCAGCAGACACATCGGGACCAAGAAGCTTGGAAGCTTCCAGAACAAGGCAACCAGAATGATGAACAGTGCATGTCACATAAGGGTCATTTGGAGGAAGTAGAGATGTCCAGCCTGCAGAAAAAAGGACCCCAGAGAGACATGCTAGTTGTTTTCAGGTACCTGAAGGAGGAAGTCTTAGGGAGATAGACTTGGACTTCTTCTCTCTGGCCTAGAAGGGCAAGACGATGTTAAAAGAAAAATTCTTCATTTAGGCTTTTGCCCTGATTAACAAGGCAAAACTCAGGACAAAGAAAACTATAAGGAGTTTATTAGAGTACATCAAGATATCAACACATTGGCAGGCTGATCCCTGGAGATCTGCAATGGTTTCAAGACAGAGCCAGCTTTTATTGATAATTTTTGAAATGAGATCAAGACAATTTGGGTAGGTCCATGTCAGTAGAAGGGGATGGGCCATTACATCTCAGTTCCTCCCCACTTGCCTATATGTGGTGTTTATCAGGTAGGGGTCCTGGCTATTGTCCATCATAGTTGAAGAGTACCAAAGCGACATCACTATGTTGGGGTCAATGTACAGTGTGTCCAATTATGGCTAATCAGACCAATGTGGGCTCGGAAGCCTCTACCACAAGTCGGGCACGAATAATCCATCTGAACATTTGGAATGGAGATATTTCTAAATTTGGACATCTCATGTTTCCTTCGAGCTATGGAAATTCTGTTTTGCTCAGAGAGCACAGCACCTTCTTTGAAGTGGGCATATCACACTGGGCAGTCCTGTGCCAGCGTCTCCCATGTCTCACAATCAATTCCTAAGTTCTTCAAAGAGGCTTTGGGAGTATCCTTGTATCACTTCACTTTTCTGACCTCTGTGTAAATGCTTGCCTTGTGTGAATTCTCCAAAAGATAATCTTTTAGGTACAGATACATTTGGCCTTTGAACAACATGACCAGCTCATCAGAATAGGGATAGGGGTACAAATGTCACAGGTAGGTAGATATTACACAATAGATATTATTACACAGCTAAAGAACAGATTGATCCTCTCCCAACATTGATCAACAAGCAGGACTGGAAATAATGGGTCACTGAGTGAGCATAGTTTTCAATAATTCCCTCTTTGGGTGCTAACCATATATATGGAAACAACTGAACAACAAAACAAAATATATGTGGCTCAGCACCATATTCAGTCCTCAATCACTCTTTTATTCTCAATTGCATCATCCTAATTTCTGCTGCTTGGGCCAAATCAATTTGATCAAGCACTAGAGGCTACAAGCTAGTGGATTTAACAGCTCACAACAGGAAATAAGTGTACTGTGGATCACAAATCACAATCCCATGTTTCCCATCAATGTCATAAAGTTGAATAAACGTAGATACACAGCATCAT